GCCCTTTCCGCTTTGTTCAGGAGGCCAGCACAACCCCCCAAAACAGGCCATCACCACTCTCTCAGGCTCTGCCTCCTGCTCAGCGTGGGGGAGCTTCTGCCATGGGACCCCTCCTCACTGCCCATCATGGGGTGTTCACTTCTAGACCTCAGGTCCAGAGGCCTCCCTACAGCCTCCTGACCTAGCCCTGGGGGCTGCGCCATGCTCCAGGGTGGGCAGAGCCCCCAGCCGGGCTGTCATGTGAAACCAGCCCAGAAAGCTAGGGGAGGAAAGGCCCAGCCCCCTGCCTAGAGGTGGGGCTGGCAAGGGAGCCCCCCAGAATGTGACTCATCCTCTCGTCAAGCCAGTGCTTACCCGTGAGCCTGGCCTGTGGTCCTCTGAAGACAGACAGCCCCCACCCCAGCCCAGAGGCTCACTGGTGTCCTTCAACATCTCGCCTCTGGAGGCCCCAGGAGGAGGAAGGACAGGTGTGGGTTCTGCCACACGAGGAGCACAGCCACCTCTGCTACCCCGGAAGACCTCCCCTAGGCTGGGCTCTGAGTGAGTCTGGGAGCTCTCTCAGCAGGGGCCTTTCCTATGAGGGTCTAGGGGAGATCTGGGGGAAGCTCATCAGCCAGGCATTGGGTGGGGTCTACAAGGATCTGTGCCCCTCCCTGCAACAGGGAAGTAGGGCCTTCCTGTGGCCCTGGCTCCAGGAGGGATGTGGCGATGTGTGGCTAGGTTCTCAGCTGGAGTCGCCTCATTCCCAGTCTGGTTGGACAGGTTGAGGCTGACACACCTGGGAGAGTCTGGAATGCCCGGAGAGCCTGGGCTGGGGCTGGAATGTGGGCCTCCCTCGCAGGGCAGGGCATGTCAAGGCTCCAGGGTGGGTGAAGGGAGGGAGCCTTGCTGTGGAGCAGCCTCAGAGGTGGCCCCACCATGGGCTCCTCCCTGCAGCCCCCTGGTCCCCAAGCAGGGGACTCCAGGGACCAAGAGGCTCCAGCAGCCTCCAGCTGATTCCCAGCTTCCCAGCTGGAAAGGCTGTTACAGAATCCCAGGAATGTGCCTTGAGCTCAGAAAGAAAATTCCCAAAATAACTTCTATAAATACTTGAGGGTAGGGGCGGGGAGGGAGCTCGCAGCCTGGCCTGCAGCTGGCCCAGCACTAGGGGCTGCTTCCAGGGCAGGCCTCCCTGCAAAAGAAGAAAAAGGCACACAGAGCTGGGACCTTCCTGCTGCCTCCCCTCTGGGGGACGATGTCAGGCACTGAGTTAATGGGCTGAGATGGTGTGCGGTGGCAATTCTTCTTTGTTTTTTGTTTTTTGTGAGGAAGATCAGCCCTGAGCTGACATCCGTGCTAATCGTCCTCTTTTTGCTGAGGAGGACCGGCTCTGAGCAACATCTATTGCCAATCCGCCTCCTCTGTTTCCCCAAAGCCCCAGTAGATAGTTGTATGTCATAGTTTCACATCCTTCTAGTTGCTGTATGTGGGACGCGGCCTCAGCATGGCCGGAGAAGCCGTTTGTTGGTGCGCGCCCGGGATCCGAACCCGGGCCGCCAGTAGCGGAGCGCACGCATTTAACCGCTAAGTGCAGTGGCACTTCTGAAAATGGAAGGCAGGACCCTTCTTCCCCTTCATCCCAATCCCAACTGCAGCCCCTGACCCCATCCTGTACCTCTGCAGAGAACCTGGTCTCCTAATGGGGAGGGTCCCCTGCAGAGTCCCATACAAAGCTGAGACCACATCCCAGCTGGGCCCTGGGCCCCTCGGGCTGCCTTTGTGGCCCTAAGCAGGTCACTAAGCACACATAAGTGCCTCTGGTGTTGAGCTGCTGTCCTGTGGGGAACAGCGAAGCAGACAGGAGCCAGGGACCCTGTCCCGCTCAGCCCAGGAAGGGGCAGGGCAGGGATCACATACAAGAGCTGGCAGTAACAGAGCACAGTCCCAAGGTGACAGTGAGGCAGGAGGTGCCGTCCTCGGGGAAGGCTTCCTGTGGGAGCCAGCTCCTGGCTAGATGAGATATGGCCAGATGCTGCCTCCTCCCTGAGATCTGGGAAGGAAGGGAAGAAGAAACAGACGAAGTTGGGAATTTGGGGGACTTCCCTCAGAGCCCTGCACCTCCCTGAGCGGCTGTAGTCGACCCTGGCCCCTCTCACAGGTGCAGTGCCCGATCACCATAAGCAGCTTGTACATCACTTTCTAGTCCCTGTGGGTGGGCAGCACAGCTGTGGCGTCTCCCAGGTGAGGGTCAGAAGCTGAGAGCCACCTAGCAGGTCTGGTCTCTCTCAGTGCAGGGTGCCCCCTGGCCAGGGTAGGGAGGAGTCAACAGGGACATGTGGATGAAACTGTGTTCCCACGATCTCCCTGGAGACCTGTTCCTTGGGCAGCTGGGAGTGGGGATGCCAGGAAGGTGACAGTGGGCCCTCAGCACAGCGCTGGGCTGGGGGCACAGCAGGTGAGACCTCGCATCTTCCTGGGGCGGGCCCTGCCCAGTTGTCAAGCAGCAAACAGCTCTGAGTTGCTACCAAACATGAACGGGCTGGTGTCTCGGGCAGGTGGCAGCGGATCCTGTTACAGGCCCTGGGCCTCCAGGCCTCAGCCTGACCCTGGCCCGGTGTCTCCTTTCAGGCTCTAAGGTCAGCACCCTGGGGTGGGGGGACGTGATCCAACCCCACCCCAGACCACAGTCTTCCCCCACAGAGAGCCTTGCCCTCTAGAGAAATCAGCTGTTCCACCCCCTCCTCGCCCCCACAGGACCCTCAGCTCATCCTGGGGACACTTCCATTTGCTGTCTGCCCACCACGTGCCCCAGCTGCACAATTTCAAATTCATCATTGCAGAATCCTCACAACAGCCCACGAGGAAGGACTGTTCTGTTCCCCGGTTTACAGAGGAGGAACCTGCGGCTCAGAGAGAATGGGCCACTTGCCCATGGTCGGCACTTGTCCGTGGTGAGCTGGGATTCCAGCCCAGCAGGTCTTCTGGCTGTGGAGCCCTGGGATTTTTCGTCTACACGGAACATGCAGGGGAGCCTACTGCAGACCTTCCAGACTGAGAGTAAAACCAACATACACACACGCACGTACACACCCTCTTCAGCCCGCAGACACATCTGGCCCCTTCCCAAACACCCACACACTTCTTGAGATCAGGGGTTTTCAAACTTGTTTTTTAGCAGTTTAGCAGTTTGTTTGAGCCCTCTTTTCAAACAAAATCTCGTGTGGAAGCTCAATGTAGAAAACTTAGTGTGTAAAGGCCACTGTGGCCCCGCCCCCTTTCTGGGAGGCCCTGCTTGCCTTCCCCCTCTGTCCTCTGTCGCTCCCCCGTGGGCAGCACTCACAGGGCTCAAACCTTCCATTTTTGGTGCTTAATTTTGGTGTCTGGCTGCCTGTCGTCTCGCCTTCCTTCCCTCCTCCCTGTGGGCCTGTTCCATCGTGAGCTGATCAGGGTCCAGCTCCCAGGTCGTGCAGGCAGAACAGGTTGGCCTGGAGCCCTGCTGGCCAGACTGGGCACTGCCCTCCGGGCCTGGGCAGCCCTGAGTCAGCACTGCTCCCATCTGGCCTGAGGCTCCGCCCTGCCACGGCTCCCCTGTCCTCCGCCCCATCTGTGTGGTTCCCTGGGGACAGCTCCAGCTCCGTCTTGGGTTGAAGAAGAGGCACTGTGGCTACAACTCTCCTGTGCTTTCCTGCCCCCCTGGCCACAGGCCCGCCAGCCAGCGCCTCTGGAGCAGGGGAGGCTTTTCCTAGGGCTTCGTGAGCGCCATCTTTCACTCTTGCCTAATTGGTCGTGTTCCAGGCTCTCCGAGGACCTTATGAAATCAGGCATGTGCATCTTCCCCAGTGGGTCTCCATAGCAACAGAGAGCCTAACTCTGGGGAGCTCAGTGAGGAGGAAAATGTTCCAGCTAAAAATGTACATGGCTGTCAGTGGGCGGGCACCCGAGAGGGGGCTCAAGGCACGTAGAAGGCAGCTCCCCACCCCATCCCCCGCCTGTTCGTGCTTTACCTCATGTCGTTGAACGAGAGGAGAGCCACCTGTGCTGCCATCCCATGCCACCTTTGAGGGCTGGAACACAAATCAGTGGGACAGTGCAAAGCAGCCTTTCCGGGACCAGAGGCTGAAAGGGGGCCCTGGCCCCTCCCCTTGCTCACCACCCTGTCCCCTCACCCTTCCTGCACCCTTCCCAGCGTGGGTGGAAGAGGACATAGAAGGGACAGGGTGCCAATTTCACGTCCCAACCCCTTTTTGTGACAATTCTTGTCACTTCCTCTATCGCTCTGGCAACAGGGTTGTTGGAGCCAAACAGCAGGGCCAGGCTTCCCCGCCAACCCAGCCCATCCTCCCAGAGCCCCTCCTTTCACCCAGCATCCATCCCTGGTCCACAGACGTCCCCAGGAAGGCCGGCTGCTGATGCAGGCAAAAGAGCTGCCCGCCCCCTCCACCAGTTTGAGGTTCTCCCCTCCGATTGTTGCATCCAAAGCTGGTAGCACACATCCCGCGGTCTCACGGCGTCCCTGGGGAGAAGGGCAGCTCTGTGTGCAGCCTCAAGGCCTGGGAGTAACAGGTTGAGGTTGAGATCTCACACGTGCCAGACACCGTTCCAGTGCTTTACATATACTGACTCATGTAAACTTCACACAACCCTAGAGGTGGGTACTGTCGTCTTTCCCATTTACAGATAAGGAAACTGAGGGCCAAGAGAGTGGTGACTTGCCCGGGACCCCCCAGCTGGTAATGGGGAGAGTCAAAGCCAGGTCTGCTAACGTGAAAGGGCATCCCTTGGGGCCAGGAGGGACAGAGCTCCCACAGTGGATGATCTGGGAGGCTGGGCTGGAAGCAGGGCTGGGCAGGGACGGGTAGATTTGCATGGGTAAAGGGCACCGTCACTTGACCGTACCCAAGCCTGAGACTCAAGGCCCTCTCTGGCTGGTGGCCAAGCTGCTTCCCACTCCTTGCCCCGATGGCCAGGATGCCCCTGTCCCAGGTCGCCCTCACTAACCTCACCCTGTGCTTGCTCCCCAGGGTCTGATGCTGAGTCGGCTGGGCCACAAGAGCCTGGCCCAGAAGGTGCTGCGGGACGCCGTGGAGAGGCAGAGCACCTGTCATGAGGCGTGGCAGGGCCTGGGCGAGGTGCTGCAGGCCCAGGGCCAGAGCGAGGCCGCTGTTGACTGCTTCCTCACCGCCCTCGAGCTGGAGGCCAGCAGCCCGGTGCTGCCCTTCTCCATCATCCCCAGAGAGCTCTGACTGCCCTGCGGCAGTAGGGAACTTGGGGGGGTGGAGGGGTGGGTGTGGGGCCTCAGGGAAGTACATCTCTAGGGAACACTTATGCAGGCTGCAGCCCTAGTTCTCCTCGCCTCCCGCACCCCACCCCTGCATTCTCTCCAGGGCCAGCTGGCTCTGGGAGCTGCTCGTCTGGAGCTGGGTGGGCCAGATTTGCATCAAAAGCAAATCCCTTGCTCCTTGGGATTTAGACAGACATCATGGCATTTATGAGGAAGGAGGTAGCTGGGAGCCCACATCAGCATGAGGCCCCTCCCCAGAGAATATGTGCATCCTCTCAATGTGCAGTAAGGGTCAATGTGGCTTGGGTACCTCCTCTGCCCGTCTAGAAGCCCCTGTGCTGCACCTGCCACCCCCCTAACATCCCTGACCCTGGATTTCCTGGCCTTGTACAGGCTCTAGTCTCGAACCTCAGCTCCCTGCTCTCCAACACCAAAGATGAACCCCACCAGCTGCCCTCTGGCTGGGTCAAGAGAGTTTTCCTGGATTCCTTCCTTGGCACCTCGGGAGACAGTCTGCTTGAACCCTAAGTGACTTGGAGTCATGGTGACTGGACCTGCTCCCCGAGGGTCCCGGCAGGGGAGCCTCACAGCTGTGCTGCACCCCACCCACACCTCTGTGCCTTTGGGAGCCCCATGGCCCTGGTCACATGCCCCAGTCTGGACAGGGTTTGGGATCACTCTCAGGTGTTGTCCAGGGCGGTCAAGACTTGAAGAATCTACTGGCAAGTGGGAGGAGCATGGACCTCTGGGTCCCTTCCCAGACTTTGAGTTAGTGGATGATGCCCAGCGTTGCCCCTCTTTGCCTGATGAGGCCAGTTGGGCCCCACTGTGCTCTTCCCCTCTGCTGCCAAGTGCCTTTGGGGCCTCTGGTGTCTGGCCAGGGGCACTGAGCACCGGCCCTAACTAACCTTCCGTTTCCGCCCACCCCATCTCCCTGGAAGCGTGCCCCCGGCCCAAGCAGCCTCCTTATGCCCTAGGCCGAAGCCCCTAGGGTGGGCCTCAGGATACAAACGTGGCTGCTGGACCCAGCCCTAATACTTGCATCAACACATCATTCCTTCAGGCCTTACCTTTCTGGGCAATAGGTACAATGCAGATCCTCTATGGCTTATAATGTGCAGATGGGCAGTCTCCAGGACTGTCTCCAGTACATCTCACCACTCGCAGCCCGTTCTCACCTCAGGCTTTCTTGGGTGACCTGAGCCACTCCACCACCCCCTCCTCCTGGGGCCAAATGGGGACTGTGGTTGGAGACCCGAGGAGGAGATGGAGCCCGGCCCCTCCTCTGTGGTTGAACAAGTCTCTGTGTACATGGCACCCTTGTCTGCAGGGGTCCCAGGGGCTGATGGGTGGGTGTCTTCCTTGCTGGCTCCCCTAGCCCTGCTGCATGATGCTCTTGGAATTCTCCCCAAGAAGTCAGCCCCTCGTGGGCCTATCAGGAAATTCCTTTTTTATCTGCACTTGGGTTTTAGTTTTAAAGCTCCATCTGGTACATGTCTCATTTTAAGGTGTGTGGAAAGGTCAGGCGCGGGCTTCCCTGGTTTGTCGTAACCCAAGTCTGTTCCTCGGAGGGGAGCTATTGGGGACCCACCCTCCTGGCTGCACTGGCTCAGCGCTGCACACGCCCAGGTGCTTCCCAGGGAGAGCCCGCACCCCTGGCCTTCCCACGCCCGGCCAAGGGACATTGCGGAGGACTCTGGATCCTTCACCTCTTGGTTGAAGGATCTCTCTCTCTATGTGTATGTCTGTGTATAAATATATATATATGATAGAGATCTATTTTTATTCTGGAATCCTGTTTAAAAAAGAAAGTAAACAAGAAAAAACAAGTGCTATTGCTTTGCCTTGGAGGCCCAAAGATGTTGGTAGTCAGTTCTTGCTAATCGGAAAGGCACTAAATGCATTCCACTTGAAGCATTCCCTCGGAGGAAGCCCCAGAGGGCCTGGCCAAGTCACTGACAGTTGGCAGATAGATAGAATAAAGAGCCCCTTGAGGGGCAGCAGGTCTGAAGCAGTGTGTTCATTCAGCGGGCAGATGGCCCCGGAACAGGCCTTGGGCGAGCCGGGAGGGGAGGGGCTATTGCAGGAGGAGAGGGGCTGGAGAAGTCCTGAAGGCTATGGCCTCGGCCACACAGGTGGGGAGGAGGTGTGAAGGGGGAGGAAGGGGACTGCTGAGGAGGTTGTGATTTGAGCCAAGTGAGAGTGGATGAGAGGGTGGTGAGGTCGGCGCTGAAGCTTAGAGGTGGGTGGGAGGAGGCAGAGAGGGGTCCAGGCGGGCCTCATTCTGGCTTGCCACCTGTTCCTCAGGTGGGCCTGAGCCCCCTGCTGCTTCCAGGGCCAGACTTGTCTGGTCTGAACATCTGAACAGGAGAGACTGTCCTGCAAGCACTGCCCACGGAACACCTCCAGCACCTGGGGGAGAAGCCCAGGGGTATGGTGTGTGGGGAGGATCCAGGCCGCATCCAGAGGGGCCGCCTGCGCTGAGACGTCCATACCACTAGACTCCTGATATATGTTAGATCACATGCCCATATACGACATATGCGATAAAACGTGCATTAAAATTTTGAAGGGTGACCTAAATTTACACAGAAGTTCTAGTTTCTTCGTGTGCCTCAAGGGATCTTCTGGTGCACCCCCAGGGCTGCACCCACCCACTTGAAGACAGCTTGACTCACAGCTGGCCTAGATGGACCTTGGTGCTCCCGTGGCCTCACTGTGGCCTGGCCTCCCCCATCCCACCCTCAGCCCTATTCTCGGTTACAGTTTTGCTGTCCTAGTGCAGAAGTGTCTTTGAGTGCCCAGCTTCTCTTTTGCTGTGATACTTTGTGTAAGGAAACACATTCACAATCTTGGGTGATTTAACAATTAGTATCTGATTACTTGTCACACACACTGACCAGCTCACGGCCCCCTGGGGTGAGGATTAAAGGCCATAGGTGGTGGTACATTATTTGCCAGCCTGGGAGAAAGGTCTAGAAGGCTCATCCTACAAAGAAGAGAATGGAGGGAGGGAGGGGAGGCCTTCCTGTTCCTGACGAGCTGACCTCAAGTTGGTCAGATGTTGGAAGGTCTGGCAGTGGTGGAGATCCAGGCCTTTCCTGACCTCCCCAATTCCAAGTCTGCAGACCCCTTATTCACACACAAACCCTCGCTGGAGAGGGAGGGAGCCAGCCCTGTGTCCAACACATTGAGCCAGAACAAGGGCTGGAGTCTAGAGACGAGACTCGGGTTGCACTGTCACCCCCATGGCCCTCCAGCCCACCCGCCACTCTCCAGGACACAGCCTTTCAGTATTACTAGTGTTTATCTGCAGGCACAAATATGAATGGAATTCCAGCCATCACCACCCAGACTCCTTTCTGGTACCAAAGTGCCCATTGTTGCGTTCACATCCCCTACCCGGGCACTCAGATGTTGTCACCGTGCAAATATTTGTTGGCCTTGCTTGGGAAGCATCCAGCTAAACAAACCTCCCCCAGCCCATGCTGCCAGCTCTTGATGGCAACTCAGTCAGGGAGCCTCATGCATATGTGACCTCTGGGACCAACCCACATGGTGCTGAACCGAAGGATTCTGGAGGCTAGGGAGGTTCTGACCAGAAAGTATCCCGCTAGCCCCTGCCAGAAATTCCTTCAAATTCTCATCAAGCTCTTTCAGTTGCAAAGAACAGAGACGCACTGAAGGTGGCTCCAGGAAGAGACGATGAGGAAATCCCTGGAGCCCTAGGGCAGGAGCCGCAGTGCACAGACCTGGGGCCGAAGCAGCCACAGGTCCGTCTTCTGTGATGGAGTCAGCACCCAGCCTGAGCTTGAAGGCCCAGCTCTGCCACTGGCTGGCCCTGTGGCCTTGAGCAAGTCACCTAACCTCTCTGTACCCATCTCCTTTCTGTAAAGTAGGAAGACTACTGGAATAGTGCCTGCTTTGTGGATCGTTATGATGATTAAGTGAGAAAAACATGGAAAGAGCCTAGAACAGTGCCTGGCTCATAGTAAACACTCAGTATGTCTGCGCAATTATTTTCTCTGCTTCTGCCTGCTCCTTCCTCCTCTCCCTGCCAGGTGACTTTGCTCACTCAGGGGTGTGCTTCGCTAGGACTACGTTCACCCTGCACACCCTGGCCACTCCAGCCCCACTCCTGGCCGACCTACCACCTACACCACCGCAGCAACTCCCCTCTGAGCGTCTTAGATTCTTGGATGAGAGGATCCTATTGGTCCCACTCATTTTTTCATGGGTCACTAAGAGCAATCAGTTGTGACCAGAGGACATGGGCCTCAGGACACAAAATTTGGCTGCTTGAGCAGCAGGAGTTCTGGGTGGGCAATAACCTAGCCCTTCTAACACCTTGCATCAGCCCATCATTCCCTCAAGCCTTGTCCTCTGGGCACTGGGTACAATGCAGGTCCCTCTGGAGGAGGCAGACAGCAGAACCCACACCCCCTTGAACACCCATCCCTTCCCCTCCCTGTCATCGTCACCTTATGTTGCACCCATGGTGGGGCTCCTGTCCAGGCTCCTCTCTTAGAATGAAGATGACAATTACAATCTGACATTCTCGCTGCACTATACTATATATAAGGCACTTTACTTCTCCATGAACTCTCTCTCTGACATTGCTCCTTGGGGAGTCAACAACCTTGGGAAGTAGGTTTTATCCCCATGAAAAGTGAAGAGATCATGGTGCCTCCGCTCACAGTTACTTAGCGTATGGCAAGGCGTAAGAACCTAGGTCCTCACCCACAGAGCCAGCTCACTGGATGCTGGGAGAGAGGCAGGAAGCCCCTGTCATCACGGCAGCAGACTGACCCCTCTGCAATCAATGGACACGTGCATCACTGGAAGTCCTCTACTGGAGCGTCACAGGGGAAGATGACGGGTCCAGCGGCCCCTTGGGTGCCCCGAAGCCCTCCCCCTCTGCCGGCAACTTCACCCCACTGGCTGCAGGCTTGGGCCCCTGCCTCAGTGGAGGGGAATGTATGACGCTTAGTGCCGCCTGCCAATCCTCACCCCTTCAGCAGCCGGCAAGGAGGCTCCTTAAGCAGAGGTCACTCAAGAGGCTGGAAGGTCCCCCAAATAGCAAGGCGGTTCTGAGGATGCTGGATAGTCCAGAAACATGAAAAGGTCACCACGAGAGCTGTGCACTGGGCCATGTGACCCCACTGTCCTGCCCACCAACTGACTGGACAATGAGTGGGTTCTAGAACCAAGATTCCTCCTCTGTGGCCTGGCCCACAGCCTGTGAGGTGGCCTGGGCACCCCCATGCAGAGGCTCCCTAGCCAGGTGGTGACTGTCACCACTCTCTCACACTCTCCTTTATTCTTTTCCCCCCTTAACTGTCTCTGGAATTTGGCAAGAAGTCAGTCATTGGGGACCTCTTTTAAAAACACATATAATCTATTTTTTTCTGAACCATTTGAGAATAGGTTGCATAAATCATGCCCCATTACTCCTTAATACTTGTGTGTTTTTGCTAAGAACAAAGGTCATTGTCTTACATAACCCTACCACAGTTAGCAAATGAGGGAAATTAACATTGACATGGTATTTTAACTGCTCTCCCATCCATATGCCAGTTCTTTGTAGTATTGTTTCCCTCCAGCCCAGGATCGCATATTCCACTCAGTTGTCGTGTCTCTTTAGTCTCCTTTCGTCTGGACCAGTCCCTCCTCCTCTCTGCCTTTCATGACATTGACATTGCTGAAGGCTGCAGAGGGTCTGGCCTCTGCAATAAAAGTATGGGAGGAGGGAAGTAGTTGGTGGTGGGAGCAAAGGCTGAAAAGCAGCAGAAGCCACAGGTCAGAGAGGAGAAGGGAAAGCAGCTAATTGGTGTGGGCAGAAAGATAGAAGCGAAAATAAAGAGCAGGCGAATCTCCATAAAGACAGAGCTGTCACATCAAAGAAATGGATGCCCACTTCCAAGGGGGCAAAACGATGATGGAAGCACGAGAGCTTCAGTCTATCCTGAACAACCTTTCCAGCTCCTGCAGCCTGATTTTGAGGTCAAGACTCCCATTTGCTTCCTTTCTTCATTCCTTGCAATGACCCCCTGACAACTTAAGGGACCCCAAGTGTGTCTCTTTCTGGTGGCCCTACACATCCCCAGAGAGGCCTCACTCTTCTTCCTGGGTCTGCTCTGAGTGTGCACCTGGAGACCAGCCTTTGGGGGAGGGGTGTGCCCCAGGGCATCCACCTTTGAGGGGAGAGGGGCTCTGACCAGAAGCAAAGGGGCACCAGTGGGCATTGTAAAAGCCCATTTCACAGGCAAGGGAAGTCAAGGTGCAGGAAGGTGAGGTGACTTGCCCAAGGTCCCCAGCCAGCCAAGGCAGTGATTGACACCCAGGCAGTCTGCATTCCAGAACCTCAGTCTGTTGCATTCTTCGTGGTACACCTGCCAACTCAGGGCGTGTACATGCTGAAACGGAGATCAGGGCAGCTCTGACACCTGAGATGGGTCCCTCCCCTGCGTGAAAGTCAGAGCACAAATGGCTTCCCCAGCATCCTGTGCACAGGTCCCAACAGTCTGGGCAGTCTCTGCAACTCTGACTGTGATAATCGCTCAGCTTGGGCCCAGAAAGAAGAGCCATTGCAAGCTCCTCTCACCTGTCTTGTGCCCAAAAGCCCACAGCTCACTACCCCACCCCCCAAACCCGGCCCAGTCGTGGAGCCAAAGGCAAAGCTTAGTGAATGGACATGAAACATAAGGGTGTCCAGATGGCCCTGCAGAATGTTCTCCAGAGGTTCTACCTCCAGGTGAAGTCTCTGCAGGCCTCCTAAACTCCCTTCCTGCAGGCCAGTCAAGAGACCCTCCCCTTCTTATTCTGAAAGGGTTTTCATTCTCTTCTAGAAGACCAGGGAGTTGTCCTCCACCCCAATTACACATACCCCACACAGCTGGGCCCCTGCAGCTGTGTCTGTACCAGGGTCCAGGCTCACTTGGCCACAGCTGAAGGACCCAGGGGTGGACCCCTGACCCAAACTGGACAAGTGGATTCTCTCTCCTGGGAATGTGCCACTGGAACCAAAAGGGGCTGGTTACAATCTTTTAGGGTGTTGGCTCAGGAAATGATGTGAGGAGACACTGAGGTGGCTACATGAGATCCTCCACACATAAAGAGGCAGTGAAAGCCAGCCTCTCAAGGGGGGAAGCAGGCCTGAGAGAGAAGGGAGGGGACACGAAGGGAGAGAGAGGTGGTTCTGGGCAGCCCATGGTTCACACTCTTGTAGGGGAGATCCCCCTACCCACTTACAACACAATCTCCTCATCCCCTTGCTAGTGTGAGGAGTTCCTCTAACTTTCCATCCACGAGCCCTGACTCAGACAGACATGACCACCTCTTGCCTCTCTCCCTCTCTCCCTCTCTCTCTCTCTCTCTCTCTCTCTCTCACCACTTCCCTGAGCACCAGGTGCAACCTGAGACACTGCTTCTCAGAGAAAGCACCCTCTGTCAGAACCCCTAGCCATTACTTTATCACCCAGTAGGGGACTCTGACCCACTTGGAGAATAAAATTTGGAATATCTGCCTTGCAGCCATCTTCCTTCCAGTCAAGGTGGGGCGAGAGCTGCCATCGCCCCTGAGACATCCATCTGATCGTCCCAGTGGCTGTTTTCTGCTCAGAAGGAATGCAGTGCAGGGCGTTCCTTCCACAAACGGGAAACTTGAATAAATTCAGTGAGATGACAGCCTTCCCTTCCTTGCCCCCAACACTCATTTTATAAGGGCTTATAAGACTAGAGAGGTGGGGTTTTTCTCTCCTTTTAAAATATAACAAAATATAAGCCTTTATATTAGTTAGGTTTTTTTAGTTAAAAAAGAGATTCCTTCCAATTATTTATTTATTTATGTATTTAACTTTTTTTTGCTGAGGAAGATTGGCCCTGAGCTAACATCTGTGCCAATCTTCCTCTATTTTGTATGTGGGATGCCACCACAGCATGGCTTGATGAGCGGTGTGTAGGTCCGCCCCGAGGGTGCGAACCCTGGGCCACCGAAGTAGGGCATGCGAACTTAACCACTATGCAACTGGGCCAGCCCTCCAATTATTTTTTAGTGACTCTGGAATCTCCCCAACCTTTGTGAGACACTGGCTGTCACACACAGGGTTTGTCTATGTCTGCATGTGGTCCCGGCCTTCTGACCGAGCCTTGCCCCACCCGCCTCCCACCCTCACTTGCACCTTCCACTCTAGTTGGGCCAGGCTCCCTCTTTCCCCTTCAGCAAATGCTTATTCCTGCCTTTCACCCAAACAGGGTTCCTTGCCCCCCACCTTCCTCCTCCTCCTCTCAGCCTATTTCGGCCTCCTGGTCCCTCAGGTGCCAGCCAAGCTGCCCTCCTGCATTGGCCGTCCTTCACAGCTCAGGCCACCCTGCCTTGTCCCTGCTCTGACCACCTGTGGCCTTCGTTGTCAGACTTGCTCCTCTGTGTACTGGACGCAGTGATTTCACAGCTTCCTCAGACCAGGGCCTGTCTTCCCGGTGGAACTGTCATCCTCATGAGGGCAGCCCCTGAGCTTCAAACACAAGGTGACCAGAAGGAGCTCCTTGGCACAACCTTCAAAGCCTTCCTCAAGCCAGGGACTCCCCCAAACTACCTTTCTGGCCTTGTCTCCCCTACAACCCTCCCCAAACTCAGTCACATGATTTGTCTTTCTTTTAAGCCCCCACTCCCCAACCCCAGCACAGCACCTGGTACAGAGCAGATACTCAAAATATTTTTGTTGACTAAAAACCACAAATACTGATCAGGTTGAATCAATATTGTTCTTTTCAGGAAGTTGAGAGAGAGAAAGAACTACCTGTTGGGATCCTGTCAAGCTCAGCTTGGCCTTGGTAGAATGCCGACCCCCCAAGGAATTCTCCACGAGCTCAGGAGGTCTCACAACCCTAATGCAGTTGAGCCCCAGCGGGAGCGCCCGGGGTCGCACAGAGCACAGCCTGGACATATCAGGGCCCGTCCAAGCTGCTGCAAGAGCAGCCAGGGGCACAGTCTCTTGGAACAATAAACAGAGTGAGCATATAATTTATTATCCAAACCAGGACACTTTTGAGAGTGAATTGGAAATTATGCTGGGACTATTCCAGATAAGTGGGCTGGATGGTCACCCTGGGCAATCGATTATGTTCTGTGGTCAAACCCTCCTAAATAAACCAAACAGAGTTTTCTAAACATAAGAACTTGCTAAAATTCAAAGTAGTTTAGGACCAAGATGGCTTAATTTTAAAAGCCAATGGTGTTGTTGAAGAAAAAGCAATGTTCCCGGCCCATTCTGGCTATGGTCCGGGGCTGCTTGGGGAATTGTGCTGAAGATGCGTATGCTCCTGGGCCCGGGGTTTTCTGTAAACAGAACAGAAAACAGAGACTGATGAGATAGTGACACCGACCCCTGGAGCCTCCAGAGCCTGGCTGTTGGCTCAGACGTGGCTGGCAAATCCCGCAGAGGGAGACAAGCGCCACACAGGCCTAGGGTGAAGCCTGCTGCACCCCTGAATTTGGAGTGTGTCCTTGGGGCTGAGGCGGCTCCTGTCAGAGGCTCTCCCCACGGCTGCAGAGGGGCTGAGAGAAGGGTAGAGGGGTAGACAAGCCAGGAACAGCCTAGACCTGTGGGAGGCGGGCTCACATCCCACCTCCTCTCAAGGCACTGTCCCTGGGAATGCCATCGTCCTCCCCTCTAACGACCTCAGTCTAGGGGTACGGGGTTGGGGAGAATGGACTCTGAATCTGGGTGGTTGACCTCAAAAGCCCAAACCTGTGTGTGTTTCTTTCTTTTTTTTTTTTTTGTGAGGAAGATCAGCCCTGTGCTAACATCCATGCCAATCCTCCTCTTTTTTGCTGAGGAAGACTGGCCCTGAGCTAACATCTGTGCCCATCTTTCTCCACTTTACGTGGGAAGCCACCACAGCATGGCCTGACAAGCAGTGTATCACTGCGTGCCCGGGATCCGAACCTGGGCCGCCAGCAGCAGAGCGCACGCACTTGACCGCTACGCCACGGGGCCAGCCCCAAACCAGTGTGTTTCTAACACTGACCCAGTACAATATAGTAAAGTGTTTCTTCACAAGGGTCCGTGGACCCCAAGATCAGAAGTATGCTCAAGGGATCTACAAGTTCTAATTTTTAAGAGTCATGTTTTCATTTTGATGAAATTTTTTTAAAAAATTCTTTCACCAATTATTTAAACAAAGCTTCTCTTCTGCACTGATAAAATGCAAAAGAGCAACATTTCTATAGACTAAGACTTTGATGTCTTAGGTCAGTGTTTCCCACGCTGGGCTGCACGTACATATTCTTGAAACCCACAGGAATTTTATCTGGAGTCTGTTGGAGAGACACCAGTGTCTCTGTGTGTGGTTAAGGGAAGGGTTTAAATGTCACACAGGCCTGGGTTTGAGTCCTAGTCCCATGACCAAGGGCTCAGTGTGACTCTGGGCCATGTGCTTCCCATGCCTCCCCTCTCAAATGAGGTTCTGAGGCTCACTGGAGGCCCTCCCGGACAGACAGCACCACGCCAGGCTGGCAGCCAGCAATCCACGTTAGCTACCACCACTGTTATTATTCCCGATTATCACCTACTTGTCATTTTCATCCTTCCTTGCAGTTTGTTATCTCTTCAGGAGACAGTGAAAGTAGAAATAGGATTACCCTGAGAGTGGGACCCAGCAGTCAGCCCAGAGTGGATGAGATCAGCTGCCTGCAGAAGCTGCTTTAAATGACAGGATGTTTCCTTTGCCAAAAGCAGAGGAGCAGCCTGGAAATCTAATCGGGGCGTGGCCAGACGTCAGAGGAAGCAGGAGCCTTTTTTCGTGCTATTCATGAGGAAGCTGGGTGCATGTGGAGTTCTGGAAGGCCAGCCCACAGAGCAGCAGGTTCGTGGGCCTGGGCCCCACGAGGCCACCCCTCAGGAGGCTGCCAGCTGTGGTTCTCAGACCTTGAGAACATCTAGCTCCATCCCCTAGCCCTGATTTCACTGTCACCAAGCAAACTTCTGGTTGTCCTTGGCTTCCATGCAGAGTTTCCCATAAGGGGAGACGCTCCACAGAGCAGTGGCCCCAGACACTAGCCCACAGGTGGACCTCTGGCTTCTCTACCAGTTTCCTGGGAGTTTGGTTAACATGACTTCAATTTCCTGAGGATGCTCAGTCCTGTGAACTCTCAAAAATCTGCGTCTGGATCTTGGTGATGCCGCTAGGGTGTGAGGATCTGCTGAAGGGATCCACTATCCTTTGGCTGTAGGTCTGTTTTTAATTTTACTGCCAGGGCGTCCCCAGTGTTCCTCCAGATAAAGACCACACTACCCCCACACTGCAGCCGGCAGGTCTGGAGCGAGATCATGAAGGCGGGGGCCTGGCATCCCAGGTGGGGTAGGGGAGGTGACCTGCAGGCCCAGACAGCCCAGTACTGGGCCTCTCCTACCCATGGCCCCAGCTTCTCCCACCCTCCCTTCATCTCCTGGGGTAGGCCCATTTTCTTACAAGTAGAATTTGTATTTCTGTCTCCCCAACCATCTCAAACAAGGCTACAGACCAGCAAGTTTTGGAGATTTCAGACTGGCGTGCAGGCTGGGAACAATAACGCCAGGGGAACGAAACCTGTCTTTTAGCATTAAAAAAAAAAAACAAAAACAGCCATGTTCATAAGCTCCACATTGTGCTTTTGTGATCTTTGTCGGTCTTCGCTAGGCCTTTTAAGGCTCTCGCACGCTCCCAGAATCCACCTTCTTTGTACTCTCCGTGCACTTGAGCCTCCTCCCTGCCTGTCCCGAGTCCTTGGCAGCAGGATGATTGCTAATGCCTTAATGGTCCCCTTTGGTTCAATAATAATGCTTCTGCTCTGACTCTTTGCTCCCAGAAGCCCCACACACAAGGAGAGCAGTTCTGGATGGTGGGGGCAGCAACCACCCACTGCTTGCCTCAGTTCATTAAAGGTGTTTCCCCATAGAGCATCCAGGTCATAACACTGATGGCTGATTACTGTGCTGGCTGTTCTCAACTGGACTCATAATTCAGCCACAGTCTCGGAGCCTGGAGTCACTCTGAGGCTGATGCTGGCCAAGGGCTTGCAGGTGTTCGAGCTCTACACTCGTCGCTGCCTTGACAAGCAATTATACGTATTTGCAGCCACAAAACCTACAAAACCATACATAGAACCACAAAACCTACAACCATCATCTGTCCTGTAGAATACTTACTGAACAGGTGGGCAAGAATCGAGGTACTCTGGATTGAAAACAAGAAGTAATAGAATTTGCTGGAGGTATTTTCAAGTTATAATGACCTGGTCCTGGGCCTTCGCGCTATAGAAAAAAAAAAAAAAAGCGTTTCATAATTACTCATATTTGAAATGTTTTAACACTTCATTTGCCTTCCACACATAAACATATGAATCAGTGTGATATGGTAGAAAAATCCCTGGATTTGGGCTTGGACGATCTTATTTCGGTGTGCCCTGGCACAAATCATTGTGAAACGGGAGTAATACCTGCTTTACCTGCCTCCTGGGAGACTGTGAAGACTGAAGACGAAGGGACCTGCAAAAGTTTCCCCTTGTCCCTACCTGGGCCCCCTCCCCACACTGGCATGCCCCACTCCATACTTGTCCCTCTGACTGTTCACAGTCACTTGCTGCTCTGAGCTGTTAGCTTTATAAAACACACTTATTCTAAAAAGACAAAAAAAAACCAAACACAGTTATTCTTTCACATAAATGTAATATATGTTATCTTAGTCCAAACAAGTATTCACAGCAATTCACTGACATAAGTAAAATGCAATGAGATGAACACAACTTTAAAAAGACAAACACCCCAATAGAAAAATTAGAAAAAGGCAACTCACAAAGAGGAAATAAAATTGTTCAATGAGGAAATGTGGCGTGGGGGCTTTAACCTCCTTAATAACCAAATAAGTTCTAATTTAAACACCAATGAGATTCTTTTCAGAGGGTATAGAAAATTAACAAAGGTAGAAAGAACGAATGAACAAAAGAACAAAAGAAAGAGAAAACCAAAACTTTAACCACCAGCATGGACACTCCTCTATGATTCTGGTGGAAGTATAAATTTGATGAGCCTTTCCAGAGCACAATTTGGCAAGCTATGAAACAGCTTAAAAACATATATAGTGATCCAAAGCGAGAGAAAGAAGAAAGGAGACTGGTTACAGGACAGTTGCAGGAATCTAGAAGACAAATGAGTCCTGAGCCCATATGACAGATATGAAAATGGAAACTGCTCAAACATCACAGTAGATAATGTAGACAAGATGATAATCTTTGGGGTTTTTTCTATTAATTCACTTTTTTCCTCTCTCATTTTCAAATACCTGTGCTATATGACAGAAATTAGTCTTTCTGGCATGATGTCTTGGATCTGTTTCTAAATAATACAGGGACTAGGAGAAGTGGGTAGGGGTATAGATTGGCCAGGAGCTGATCATTATTGAATGGGTATGTGGGGGTTCAATACAGCATTCTGTCTATGTGGCACATATTTTTAAAGTTTCTACAATACAAAGTTAAAGACAATGTATATTTATTATTTTGACCCAGCAATTTCAGGAATGCATCCTAAGAAAACAATTGAGAAAGTGTGCAAATATTTAACCACAAAGACATTCACTATAACATTGTTTCTAAAAGTTGAAAATTGGAAATAAAACTAAATGATTAATGATGTGTTCCGGGTTAAATAAATTATGATTCTTCTATCCAGCTGTTCAGTGTTGATGAATTTTTATGGACATAAAAGCTATTCCCAAATATTGTGAAGTGAAAAATGTGCTTTAAAAAAAGCGCATAAAAAAACTGGGATGCTTAAAAAAGTTTTTTTTTTTTTACTTATTGGCATTTTCTAATTTTTCGACAATGGACTTGAGTGCACTTGAAATATGAAAAAAATTATACCCAGTGTATAGCTAAATGAATATGGAAATTGGGTAAAGGTAAAGGAAGAAAAGAGGTAAGGGGAAAAAGATGAAACAAACAGTAAGGTTAGAATAGAGAAATATATCCTGTAAGAGCCTTAGAATAGGTAAGGCTGAGGGCCAGCCCCGTGGCTTAGCGGTTAAGTGCGCACGCTCCGCTACTGGCGGCCCGGGTTCGGATCCCAGGCGCACACCGATGCACTGCTTCTCCGGCCATGCTGAGGCCGCATCCCACATACAGCAACTAGAAGGATGTACAGCTATGACATACAACTATCTACTGGGGCTTTGGGGTAAAAACAAATAAATAAAATTATAAAAAATAAAAAATAGGTAAGGCTGGGCCACAAATTAGCCCAATGGATTTGGGAGAACAAGCACCCAAGTGCAGACCCTACGCCGGATTTAATAGCCAGGCTTTCCCCTGTTTGCTCCTGCGTATGGCACAGCAGTGTAATTAGGACTGCCATTCTCAATTACCCCACCATGAATGGAGTCTGTTATTAACACCAAGCACAAGTCTGATAATCAAGGGATGGATGCGTCTCATAATTTTACAACTCATGGCAGAGAGAAGAAAACAGTAACGTTTTCAAACTACCGCACACATGGGACTGAGATCGCTATCAGGGTGAGGCTCTCTGTACGGAGTGACCTCTGCACGTGCACTGGAGAAATCTGAGCCACCATAATAACAGAGGCATAGCAAGCCAGGGGGATCCAGACAGGAACAGTTTGTGCAACGTCCCCTTGGGTTGGCCATCATAAATGCAGTGCTCTCAAGCCAGCATGGTAGCTGGGGCAAGAGACGCTGCTGAGTGTGCTACCATTGACTCCACGCCTGTGACAGCCAGCTCTCTGCAGGATGGCTAAGAAATGCTGCCACCTGCACCCTTTCCCCTCAAGCCTAATGTGGCTTTCATTTCTAAGCGTCCAAGTCACGAGCTCCTTGCGAGACCAGGTGCCAGGCCTGGCGAAGCACTGACATGTGCCTGTGCCACCCAGCAGCCTCGCTGGACGGCCTTGGTCACCAGAATCAAAGGGACTAAGACTTATGGCAGAAAGAAATTACTGAATGCTATTTGCCCCACATGTGTCAGATGGAATCTTTTAAGCAGGAGCATTAGGGAAGTGGATACAGGCCCAAGTTCATATTCCAGAAGCCACAGGAATGCTGTTCTAAGTGAGAAGTAATGATCAGGGCAGGGTCCTGCAATGGGTGGGAAGCAGCTCCAGCAGAGTCCCCGCTTCTGGCCCATCCAAGGAGGGCGCAAGTAGGCAGAGACGGAATGGAGGGAAGGGGACACGGTCCAAGATGGCTCTGAATGTCTGTCGAGAAAGGGACCCAGTTCAATGGGAGGGTAAAGAAGGACTTTCGAACTGTGTCCTACTCTTCCTTGAAATTGGGGATTCTGCTCCCTCGTGTTCTGGTGATCACTGAGCATGATCCAGAGCCTTGGGTGACATTATGTGCGATGCGTGGGTGGAGGGTGGCACCCAGGTTCATCAGGCAGTACTAGGTCCCTCTTGCACAAATCGGATGGACCATTTCTTAAACCTCGCTATTGTCAGGGCCATGCTTTGGCAACTCGGGGTTTCCCAAAGTCAAACCCTTCAAAGACCATTTGCATTCGGTGCCAAGAGAGAACAGAAATGTCACCTTTCCAGAGTCCCAGAACCTGCTGCCAAAATAAACTACAGGAAACCTTTTATAGTAGCCATTCCTCTGCTTTGGGGCATGATTACATCTCAACTCTCCTGACAAGATGACATCTTTCTTTTCCCTTTGAAAAATTCCTATTTAATTGAGTTTCTACTTGAGGGCAACTTTAACCAACAGGAGCTGTAGCGATCATACAGATGAATGAAATACTATCCTCCACCTCAGAGGAATTTATAGTCCAGCGAGGGACACAGGCAGAGCCATCAAAAACACCACAAAAGAACAAATGAAGGTGTGAGGAGCTGGGATGATGCTGAGTGAGGGCTGAGCTAGCTGTATGCCTTCAAGATTCTAGACGAGGCCCTGGCGTCTCTGGCCTGGACTACTGAAGTGTGATCTCAGTGGGCCACAGGATGTTACTGAAGGGGGGAGCTTTCCACTTACAGCAAAGGACTCAGAATGCATGGGTCTCACCCACTTTTCTGGAGTGCTCTTGGGTCCCTGTCATAACACGAAGAAGCTTGACTTGCATATTTGGTTCCAACCCCTAAGGTGAAATAATGTTCAGTACCATGACAGGCCTTTGGTTACCGCCCCCACCCCCACCCCACTGAACACACTCCTCCCCCAGGGCTGAGAGGATGGGACTGGCTAACCCATAAAACACTGCTCAGGAATTAAAAGGTGCCAGGTGCCTCTGAAAGACTGTGTGAGAGTAGATGAAATTATCCCAAGTTTTTATGTGCTGAATTGTGTTCCCCCAAAATTCATAAATCCTATGAATTTTTGTGTTAAATTATGCTGAACACTGAATGATGTCCTCCCAAAATTAATAAGTCCTGTGAATGTCGAATTCCCTATACCTTAGAATGTGACCTTTTTTGGAAATAGTGTCATTCCAGACATAATTAGTTAAGATGAGGTCATTAGGATGTGCCCCAATCCAATATGAATGCTGTCCTTTATAAAAGGGGGAATTTTGCTGCCAGCCTGGTGGTGCAAGCAGTTCAGTGCGTGCACCCCGCTGCGACAGCCTGGGGTTTGCTGGTTCAGATCCCGGGCGCTCACCGACGCACTGCTTGGCAAGCTATGCTGTGGCGGCGTCCCATATAAAGTGGAGGAAGAGGGGCACAGATGTTAGCCCAAGGCCAGTCTTCCTCAGCCAAAAAAAAAATGTGGGGGGGAATTTTGGACACAGAGACACGCATACAGGGAAAACACCATGTGAAGATGAAGGCAGAGATCTACAAAACAAGGAGTACCAATGATTGCCAGCAAACCACCAGGAGTTATGAGAGAGGCATGGAACAGATTTTCCCTCACAGCACTCAGAAGGGACCAACACTGCCGACACCTTGATCTTGCACTTCTAGCCTCCAGAACTGTAACATAATAAATTTCTGTTGTTTAAGCCACTCAATTTGTAGTACTTTTTTATGGCAGCCCTAGCAAATGAATGCATGAGTGTTCAGCTCATTTCTTCATTCAACCAATATACAATGTGCCAGACAGTATGCTGGGAGTTTGGAATACAGTGGTATACGATTGTCTCCCAATATCTGTTCTGCTATTCCTTAGTATTAGAACAATTTTTAACTGGGCACATGTCTACCCAGAATAAAAACTAAATTTCCCAGCCTCCCCTGCAGCTAGGTGTGGCCACATGGCCAATCTTTGGCCAATAGGATGGAGGTGGAAGAGGTGTATGCA